GGGGGGGGGGTCACATGGAGACTCCAACCATCTGCATGAAGTCATGGTCCTTCAGGAGCTGGTTTTCAGTGAACTGACTTTAAACAACAGACCAGCAGCAGGTCACTGGTACATGTTAGGAGTAGAGTTGTCCAGACCAGTTGTCCAGACCAGTTGTCCAGACCAGTTGTCCAGACCAGTTGTCCAGACCAGTTGTCCAGACCAGTTAGTGGTTGTTAAAGGTCAGAGTTGAGGTGATCAGCTGATCAGCTGATCATCAGATCGCTGACCATGTGGTTCAAACCAGGACCAGATTATCTTACTAACAGCTAACTCCTAATGGGCCGAGGGTCAGATTTAATCTGTCAGGATTACAGCAGCTCTTCATATCAGCTCAGTCACAGGTTCGTTCTTGACCAGGAGTCTCTGTCCACCAGGGGGAGACACCATGTGGAGAACACCAGTGTGTGGTTAGGTGTTGTCGGACAAGGAAACTGCAGTACAACGTGACGTTTATACACACTGATGGGATGATAATCTGATGGGATGATGATCTGATGGGATGATAATCTGATGGGACGATAATCTGATAGAACAATAATCTGATAGGATGATAGTCTGATGGGATGATAATCTGATAGGATGATAATCTGAAGGGATGATAATCTGATAGGATGATAATCTGATAGAACAATAATCTGATAGGATGATAGTCTGATGGGATGATAATCTGATAGAACAATAATCTGATAGGATGGTAGTCTGGTGGGATGATAATCTGATAGGATGATAATCTGATAGGATGATAGTCTGTAGGGATGATAATCTGATAAGATGATAATCTGATAGAACAATAATCTGATAGGATGATAGTCTGATGGGATGATAATCTGATAGAACAATAATCTGATAGGATGATAATCTGATGGGATGATAATCTGATAGGATGATAATCTGATAATCTGATGGGATGATAATCTGATGGGATGATAATCTGATAAGAAACACCTGTTAGTGTTGTTTTTTACGTGTTTGTTCTAAATTCTGCTGCTGGTTCGTCGACCTGTTTGACCCTGAGAAGGTGTTTCCTAAATGACTGTCCAGTTGACCTTTGACCTCCTCTGACAGAACAGTCTTAACTCAATCAGAGGGAGGGGTTAATTCAAGAGTCCAGTCTGACTGACCTGACCACACACCTGGTACCGATTCTTCTCACCACAATGGAACTAAGTGCAGCTAATGTTCTCCTTTGTCTTTGTCTCAGGTTTTTTGTGGTTCATTT